ACGTCGGTCCCTGCCAACGATAGTCCTGCGCCCGCTCCGTAACTCTCCGCCTCTCAGCTTTAGTAAGTTCTGACAGCGAGTCGCCTGACAGCCTCTTAGCAACAGAAGGTCCGTCCAGGCTTCTGTTGGCGCAAATCCATCGGCTGTTCTGGCGTCCAGATACTGCTTCTCGGTAGGGACTTGGTCAGTTCTACAGTTGGGACCGACCCATGTCTTTTCACTTCGGTACCTAACGCTCTGTCCGTGAGATTTGACCGTATGACACCAACTACATTGTACCCATAAAAGAAAACTGGGCCCTCCCGGATGTGACCCTTCTTGGTCCGGGACCATAGGCAAAGTACAGAAGAAACAGGGACTTAGATGCGTTTCAGGGGACGAGTAGCGACTAGACGAGAGAGCGAGGGAGTTGGATGAGGGCAAAGAGATCGCGTTTGCCATCTCCGGCGAAACCTCCATTCCGGACTCAGGCGTCGTTCTTGCGCAGCACGTGTAGCTCTCCGTAGTGAGGTTTCGTCCCCGTGACTTCTGGCCTCCACGGAATGAGTCGCTCGTTGGCGGGATACTTGTTGGGCGGCAGAAGGCGTGTCAATCCATCGGCGTTACCATGCTGCCGCGTGGAACGGTGGCGGATGTCGAAGTCATAGTCTTGCAGACGCACCGCCCACCTGCCCAGCGTCCCCGTGTAGTCTGTGTTGTTGTGTAGGGATAACAGCGGCTGATAATCCGTTACCAGCACCAATTTCTGGCCGTAAAGATACGGTCGGAAATGCTGGATCCCCCACACCACCGCCAGACATTCACCTTTGCACGCTTCGTAATTAGCCTGTGCCTGGCTCAGCGTCTTGGACACATACTCAATGACGTGTTCCCTTCCATCCGCCTCGTGCTGAGTCAGCACCGCCGATATCGTCTGAGGCTGCCAGTCGGTGTATAATGCGAATGGTCTTGTCAGGTCGGGGCGTGCCAACACAGGAGCAGATGTCAGAGCCTCCTTCATCGCCTGAAACCGCCGCTTCACATTCCGGTGTCCAGATGAGCTGTTCCTCTTTCTTCAGCACGTTCATGAGGGGCTTCGCTATACCGGCGAACCACTTGATGAAGCGTCGGTAATAGGATGCCAACCCTAGAAAAGCCCGAACCTGGGTGAGTGTGACCGGTGCCGGGGCTTCTTGAACTGCTGCCACCTTCCTCGGATCCGGTTTTAGTCCATCGACCGTGACGATGTGCCCCAAGAATGAGATCTCCGACAAGAAGAACTCGCTTTTCTCCAAGGCCACTTTGAACCCCTCATCTTTTAGTGCATGCAAAACCCACTCAATGTGTTCCACGTGGTACTCGTGTGTTTTTGAAAAGACCAAAATATCATCCATGTACACAATCACGCAG